TTTTTTTTTTTTTTTTTTTTTTTAACAAAATATCAATTTGATTATGGAGCATATAGCATCTGAGCAAGTGGGCTGTGAAAATGTGAGGCAAGTAATCATGGATGCTGCATCACTCTTATTGGATAAATTATTTTTTGGAAAGTTTTTTTTTTATTTTATTGAAAAAATAATAGTAATACAAAGTTAATTATCAAAATAAAATAATAAAAACAGCATGTTATTTATGGCATCCCATTTTTTTCAATTATATCAATAACTAATTTGTATAATACCTCTTGTAACTTAATTATGTAAAATATATTTGTAACATTTTTTTTTTTTACTATAATCGTCCGTACATAAAACTATTTGGGAACATTTTGTCTCAAAAATTTGTCAGAGATTTAATTATTTAGAGACTGAAAATTAGTATTTAAAATAGTTCAAAACTAAAAAAAAAAATTATTATACTACCTCGACGATGAAAACATGACTAAAATGTAAAATAAATTGTCTATGAATTTATTAAAATGCAAAATAAACGGTCTATGGATTAGTTCAATAGAGGTTGTCATCTATGGATGGGTCTTTTTTTTTTTTTTAGGTATTAATAATAGGATAAGTATTTAAAAATGTATTTATATATAATGTGTATCATAATTTATGAAACATAATTTTTATTATTGGGTTCCGGTAAAGTTAGATGCATAATCATTCTCTATATGATTTGCGTAGGCACTACGGGCTTGTAAATGTACCCCATAGGTTTAGATTAGCTAGTGCATGCTTACACTACTGAAAACCAAAAAAAAAAAATGCAAAAAATATTATAGTGTACACGTTCATGCATAACATGTTGGAGAAGTAATCCATGATCATATACAATTTGCATGAGGTCTAGAATTAGAAAAACATTATTCAATGAGATGTGCATCCATATTCATGGTATTTCATTCATGTTTCTCATACATATTATGGTGTCTTGTAAGGGTACATTATGGTGTCTTGTAAGGCATAAATATGGTCATAATCAAACAAAAAAGAAAGTACACCCATCACATAATTCATTTAAAAATCATGATATAAATAATTAGCACAAATAGGGGTCATATGGTATGTGTTATTCATGCATCAAACAATTTTATCCAACCTAACACGCATAATAACTTAATTCTCTCCTAGGCTAGCTACACGATAATCTAGTGCGCATGATAAAGTTAAGACTCGTTCAGCTCCTCAGAGCTTAGTATCTTACACCTATTCTCACTAAGCTCTTTTGTTCACAAATTAGGGTTACACACTCAATATACATAACATATGTCCCCTCTGAACTTCTCTTATTCATTGGTGCCATAAGACCTAACCCAATAGATAATTTTACGCCTTCTAGTGTCTCTTAGCTTATCTCAATCGTTGGATTCACATAACTTAACTCAATGGGTTACCTTGCCTAGCTCTTTTAAGCATCCGTAAATCATTGATGTCGTGGAATCTAGTTCATTCGAGTATTTCGCGATGATTAGATTTATTAGGCTTCAGATAATCTAATTAATAGCTCAATTATTTTCTTAGTATCAAATCGTTCATGATAATGTGAGACGTGATGTGACTATAAATGAACTTCCATATCTTCATGCCTCTTATAAAATTTTATTGGTTAATTTCAACAAAAAAAAAAAATGGTAATCCCATTTGAAAATAGGTCACAGATATTTTTACATCATTTTTTACCATCTAAACAATGCATCTTTTAGAATATTTAACCTAACTTGGTAATAAAATATACTTGCCTCGATGTTAAAAAAAAAAAACAAAAAACAAGTTCCATTTATGGGCATAGTTAAAACTTAGGGTAGTATTTATAAAAGCCAATAATATCATTTATTGTTTTGTAAATATGATATTGACTAGACGTAAAAACATCAAACTTGACTCGTTTTTTTTTTTATAGTTTTTTGTCGTACTTCCTTTTAACTTAGAGGGTAACGAAACATTTCGTACAAACCTGTAGAAATCTATTCTTAAAAACTGTGTTTTAAAATTGTGAGGCTAACGACGATACGTAACGGACAAAAACAGACAATATTTGTTAGCAGTGGACTTAAACTGTTATTAAATTATATTATAATCAAATTTTATAAAACGATGATATGGATTATAAATTTAAAAGAAATATAAAGAAAACAGAAGGCTTTAAAAGAAAAATATGAAATAATAGTTTATTATGCACACGAACACGCATAGCTATCTTCATTTATGATTATGCATAGACTTTTTAATTTTGGTGGCATGCAGGATGGACACCCATTATTCACCCATGTGAACTTCTGGGTTTCACCTCACCTCGCTTCTCTCTCCTCTAATTTATCCTTTTCTTTTTTATTTATTTTCCTTGAATGTTTTTATGAATTTATGGTATTTGAAATGCAATTTTAAATTAAGAAAAACCCTAAAAATGTGAAGGAATTGGTGGGTGTGAATTAAATAAGTGAGGAATATTTAGGTATTGTTGGCGCTCAAAATTTAAACCCTACACATTTAATTAAATTTTTTAATGCCAATGCTCCAACCTACTCCTCACTTACCCTTTGGGTCCCCACTCTCCCCTACTGCCCTCATTTTTATCCCTTATAAATTTGTAATATTATCCTCAATTTTTCATAAATATTTTAAAATTATATTTAATAAGTCCATGCGTCCCATATTCCATAAAATAAAAATATTTAAATTGTTGGAGTACAAATGGGCTTAGACCGGCCCAAATAAGGGTATCGGGTGAGCTTGGCCCAACAATTGTTAGGAAGATGAAGATAAGATGATAGGAAAAAAAGAGAAGCTTAGTTTTGTCTAACAACTTCACCTAATTTGGGGAAACCTTTCAAGCTTTCATATAATATAATATAATATAATATAATATAATATAATATCATATCATATATAACCAAGAAAATTAGCAACAGCTATTCAAATCTTTAATGGTGTGGGTTTCTTGCAAGTTTCTCAAATCATCCAGCTACCTTTTTGGCCCTTCCCTCGATATAATTACTTTTCCTCTTCCCACAATCAACCATGGCTTCATTATTAACCATCATAACATCCTAAATTTTGTTTTTATTTATATGTAATTTAATTGAGAGGGTCTCGTATTTCAATTTAAACTTTTTTATTTTTTAAAATGTGCTAAGTTTTACTCTACCAGGCTTTCATCTAAGAAATCGTTTTAAAAAAAACACTCTCATTTACATTCAATATATTTAGAACAAAAAAAAAAAAGGATAGGATCCCAACAAAAACTATGCTAGTAGTTATTTAATGGTCAATTTTGTATGTATATATATATATATATATAATTCTTGGACTTTCCATGAAAGTTGGATACAGCTTTTGACTTTGGTTGTGTCATCTTCATTTGCAATTACATTTTACGATCCCAGTGAGATCTTACTTCTCGTTGAATATTAAAAAAAAATTATAAAAATTTTGACTTTTCATCTTGGCAAAAGTCTTCGATGAAAGTTTCTTGTAAACAACGATAAAAATGAGTGATGGCTAATACCATATCTCTTACAAGATTGTTATATTTTCAATGCTTAATACTTTTTTTTATAAAAGAATAAGTGAATTTTATGAATTTGAACTTATACTCCCATTTCGCTATTTGATAAAAAAAAATAAAAAAAACTTTAAAATAGTAGGCTTATTAAATCAACATGCAAATTTGATATAGTTAATGACATGTAATGTACTTTACCCGTCTCAAAAACTTGTCTCTCTAATAGGTCCGCGGAGAAAATTTGTTTCGGTTCTTATAAAGTAAAAATTAGCTTAAAAAAAAAAACACTTGTAGAATACTCTAATTTCATTATCAAACAGTCGAAAAGGTCAAAAGAACAAAAATATTGTGGCTAGATGAACAACTTTCGTGGAATAAAAAGGACATTTTTTTTTTCATAACATTTGAAACATTCAATTTGTCCATAAATAAATAAATAAATAAATAGATAAGACATGGTGGGTTTGGACACAATTTCCACGTATACCTACGTATCTGGGGTTCTGGTAATCCGTAGTTAAGTAAACCTAGAGTCTCACGCCAGCTCATCCATTTACATGCTTACACGTGGACAACAAAAATGTGTACAATCCAACCCGTCCAGGTTGTTGGGGTTTAGTGATCCAACGTTAATTATATATATTTTCCGTGGCGTATTATCATTTTGTTTCTTCTAAATATCGAAAATTATGAAGTATTTCCATGCTGGCTCACCATTTATGCTATAGGATTTAAGATAATTTTTAAAATTATTTTGTGGAATTTGAATAACTTTTGGTTGGAGAAAGAAAGAAAGAAAGAAAGAAAGAAAGAAATAAAAGAAAAATATTGGTGGGATTGGTAAAGAAATAGCATAAAAAGGAGAGTTGGTAGTTGTAGAACTGATAAACTGCCAAAATTCCCACTCGCAACAAAAATAAGAACAAACCAGTCAAACACAACACGCCTATCCCATTTTATTATAACCCCTTCTTCTTTCACTTCCAATCCCCAACAACCCAATTCAGGAAAAATGGAATCTGTCATTGCAGAGCTAGAAGGCACCCTGTTGAACAGCTCCGATGTGTTCTCCTACTTCATGTTGATGGCCTTCGAGGCCTCCGGTTTGATCCGCTTCACCCTCTTGCTCTTCTCCTGGCCACTCGTACGCCTCCTCGACGCAGCCGGGATGGCGGAGCTGGGGCTGAAGCTGGCCACGTTTGTGGCCACGTTTGGAGTTCGAAAGGCGGAGATCGAGTCGGTTTCCAGGGCGGTTTTGCCCAAGTTTTTTATGGACGATTTGAATATGGATGTTTGGAGAGTGACAAGCAGGTTTAGGAGACGAGTGGTGGTGACTAAGATGCCTAGGGTTATGGTAGAGATGTTTGTAAAGGAGCATTTACGAGCGGATGAGGTCGTCGGGTGTGAACTCGGGTTTAATCGATTCGGGTTCGCAACCGGGCTCGTGAAGGGAGGATTGGGTTCTGTTGTTGAAGAGATTTCTAAGCTTTTTGAATTGGGAAATGGTGGAAGAAGGCCTACTATGGGCATGGGGCGACCTTCATCTAGCTCTTCCTTTTTAGGTCTTTGTGAGGTTAGTTTCACAAATTTTATGATTGATGTTCCAATAATATTTAGTATTATTACATTTTCATGTTTATTTATTTATTTATTTTTTTTTTAAATAACCTTATTTTGAGATTTCGTCGTGATTAATGTTTCAGGAACAAATGCACCCACCATTAACCGCCGCTCAAATCCAAGATCACATTCCACCCCACCAAAATCTTCGACCATCACCGGTCATTTTCCACGACGGCCGGCTCGTCAACCGCCCAACCCCAGCCACCGCTCTCATAATCCTTCTGTGGGTCCCAATCGGTATAATCCTCTCCCTCTTTCGAATCTCCATCGGCTTAATTTTACCAATGTGGGCCATCCCCTACGCTACCCGCCTCTTCGGCGGGAAAGTCATCGTCAGAGGCCACCCCCCGCCGCCGCTCTCTAGCGGCCCCAACGCGGCTACCTCTGGAGTACTTTTCGTGTGCACACACCGCACCTTAATGGACCCAGTCGTTCTCGCCACCGTACTCCGCCGGAAAGTCCCCGCCGTCACCTACTCCATCTCCCGCCTAACTGAAATCCTCTCCCCAATCCCCACCGTGCGATTAACCCGAATCCGACATGTCGACGCGGAGAAAATCAAACGAGAGTTATCCAAAGGCGACTTGGTGGTGTGCCCCGAAGGGACGACATGTCGGGAGCCGTTTCTCCTGAGATTCAGCGCGCTGTTCGCAGAACTGACAGACAGGATTGTACCGGTGGCGATGAATTACCGGGTTGGTTTTTTTCATGCGACTACGGCTCGGGGTTGGAAAGGACTGGACCCGGTGTTTTTCTTCATGAACCCGCGGCCGGTTTACGAGGTAACGTTTCTGAACCAGTTGCCGGTGGAGGCGACCTGCTCGGCCGGGAAAAACCCGCACGAGGTGGCAAATCACGTGCAGAGGATTTTGGCGGCGAGTTTGGGGTTTGAATGCACCAATTTTACGAGGAAGGATAAGTATAGAGTGTTGGCTGGGAACGACGGAACGGTGTCGTATGTCTCCTTGGTTGATCAGCTCAAGAAGCGGATCGCCAAATTCAAGCCCTTTATTCACCTCATTTAGCAACCGACGGTTCAGATTGCTTTGCTTTGCTTTAGTTTCTTAAATAGTTTTAGTGGTTTTATTGCAAATTTGTCTCTCTTTTTTAAATGGAATTTGGATTAATTTGTTTTCAATTTTGTTGAAATGTAAGAATAAATAATAACATAATGTAATTTTACTCTTGTTTTTTTCCTACACCTCTGTGCTACTAACTGCCCTACATCCATTTTAGTTCAATATTTTTAAAGATTATAATTTTTTTTAATATATTGAATTATATTTATAGTGTTTTTTTTAATACCTCCAAATAAAGAAAAGCTTCCAAATCATCCTATATATTATTTTCTATTTTTTCCCATTTATGTACAATTCTTGTAGGATGGGGATAAACTAAAATTATGGAAAATTAGGATATAAATTAAAAATAGAAAATGTTACAAAAATGCACTGTTTCTATTAATATCCTATAAACAATAAGTCTGGAATCCAAAAATTTTAAAATAAAGTAAAACTATGAAACTAATATAACACCCATAAATTTATTGGTATTTTTAATAATTAATGAAGGAAAAATATTCTCTTATGTGTAGATTATAATATGTATATTACAAAATGGATAAAATTTAAAAGAAAAACATGTTTAGAACTAAATTTCTATTAAAAACTCGATAAAGGAATTCAATGGTTAATTTGTGCAATAATTAAATTAAGGTTTGTCTAAATTTTGATTTGAAATGAGAGAGTTTATGAAGATTTTTGCATTACTTTTTTGTTAAAATGATTGAATAAATTAGAGCAAATTAAACCGTAAGAGAATTTTATTTTATGGTAATGAATATTTTAAATTTTTTTTTTTTTTTTTTTGTCTAATAAATTTAAAACTAATGTTTAAGGGCTAATTATGTAATTTGAGATATATTTTTTTTTAAATAACAAAATTATTTTTTATAAATTTCAGCAATATTCAATTCCTCTCCTCCACGCCTGGAAACGTTAAAATTTAGAAGCGGCAAACGACACGTCAGTCGGCGAAGTACACAGCAGCTGCACATCTTAACGCTGTTAAAGTTGAACGAACAGGATGGAACCACTTGTCCCAAACTGGAAAGGCGTTGGTAAGACGCTAACGGAGACGACGCGGTTTTACCGTTTAAAGCCTTTTCCCCCCTTGTAATCAGTTCATTCCATTTCCTATTTTTCTCTACAAAATTCCCTAAATCAAATCCTAATTTCGTCGGCCCCTCGGTTTCTAGGGTTCTTTAATTCAATCCCCCATTTCCCAAATTGCACTCCCCTGATTGATCCCACCTTTTTCTTTTTCGTTGCTTTTGTTTTTTTCTTTTTTTTTTTTTAGTTTTTTAGGTTCGAAGCCGACATTTTGATCGTGGGGGATTTTGTTTTTTAGTTTTTTGTTTCTGGGTTTGATCGTTTGTGTTGTTTTCTGGTCTTGGGAGGATTGAAATTTTGTGGGGTTCTTCAATTAGGGGGGGTTTGGTGATTGATTGGATTAAGCTTCGTTGATGTCGTCGATGGCGGCGGCGTCTTCCTACTGGTGCTACCGATGCAGTCGCTTTGTTAGGGTTTTCAATCAAGACTCTGTTGTGTGCCCCGATTGTAATAGTGGGTTTATCGAACAGATCGAGCATCCTTCGAGGTTGGTGGACGTGGAATCGGCTCCGCGGAGGAGGTTTCCGGCTGCGGCGATGTATATGATTGGCCACCGGTCGAATTCGGGACCGAATTTGGGATCTGGGATTCGGAGACCTCGGAGGAATGGTGGGGATCGCTCGCCCTTTAATCCTGTGATTGTTCTTCGGGGGCCGTCTGATGGGAGTGAAGGTGGAGAAAGTCGTCGGTTTGAGCTTTATTACGATGATGGCGGTGGTTCTGGCCTGAGACCGCTGCCACCGAGCATGTCGGAGTTTTTGTTGGGGTCTGGGTTTGATAGGCTTCTGGAGCAACTTTCTCAGATTGAAATGAACGGTATTGGGCGGTTTGAGAGCCCCCCGGCGTCCAAGGCTGCAATTGAGTCAATGCCCACGATTGAGATCTGTGAAAATCATTTGGAAACTGAGTCACACTGTGCTGTTTGCAAAGAAGCATTCGAATTGGGGACCGAAGCACGGGAGATGCCCTGTAAGCATATTTACCATTATGATTGCATTCTACCTTGGCTTTCGATTCGAAACTCTTGTCCAGTATGTCGTCACGAATTGCCTTCGGATAATCAGAACTCTCCGGATGCTGCAGAAAGTGGTGAAAATGAGGGGTCGGTGGCCTCAAATGGTGAAGAGAATGTGGGCTTAACCATTTGGAGGTTACCTGGCGGGGGGTTTGCGGTAGGGCGGTTTAATGGAGGCAGGAGAGGTGGGGAGAGAGAACTCCCGGTTGTTTACACTGAGGTGGATGGTGGTTTCACCAATGGTGGCGTCCCTAGAAGAATATCATTTGCTTCAAGAGGCAGAGGAAGGGAAAGAGGCGGATGGAGCCGAATAATTGGCAATATGTTTGCTTGCTTCAGGGGATCAATGAGGTCTATGTCATCTACTTCAAATTCCACCATCGATTCTAGTTCTTCAAGGAGTAGTAGACCACTCCCACATTTCACTACCGAGCCAAGGCGACGGCGCACATGGTCTATGGAAGTTAACAGTGGGACAATCAGCTGGTGATTTGGGGATGTGGTGGTTGTTAGCAAGGCTAATTACGTGAAGAAGTTATATATGGGACAGGCTTATTAATTGCTGTAAATAGCACAATTTGCATTTCAGGTGGGAATGGGGCGGTTATCCGAGCTTTATATTCATAAAACTAAGAAGGTTTCTCGAGCTAAGGCAAGAGTTCTCTTTTTCCCCTCTCTTTTTGGGTTATTTGGATAAGGGATATTGCAAGAAATGTGGGAAATAAATGCAGTCTTCTCCTTCGCAGAAAAAAAGAAGAAAAAAGAGTAGCTCCTACTGCATATTAGACAATGATGGAAAATATAAGGTTTACTACGTTTAAAAGCTTGAAGGTAAGGTTGTTTTGTAGAGCAAGGTGCAGGATCCCGTTAATAATATAGTCTGTTAGAGAGCGGTGGAAGCAGAGCAGCTGCAAGTTCCAAGGGGTAAACTACTTAAATATGTTGTTAGGCTCAGTTTTTTTTTGTTGATATGATTCCATAAATTGAACGAATATGTGAACAGTTTGGAGGCATGGGATGAATACTGCATCGGCTTAGTTCATTGCATCACACTATTGTTCTGCACATCTTTGCTTGTAATGATGTTTATCTCTAGAAATAAATTGCTCTGCTTCATTGGCGTTTGTGTTCAGCTTGCTGTTAAGCAGTGCCCATCACTCTTTTATGCGCTTTTCTGAGTACAGGGATTTGCATCATATTTTGATTGTGGATTGATATTGAAATCATGCTGCAAAACATGAATGTGCAAGAGAAATAGCAGAAAAGGGAATTTGAAATTTTTTGTAACATTTTGTATTCATTCCATTTCCACAAGTTGTTCTGATAAATGGAATGAATACATCAATGTTTTTATCCATATTGTCACTCATTCCCTCATCATTTCATGCACATTCCCCATTGGTGATTTGAATATATCAATGTTTTTGGTTTTGATTTTGATGTAGAGAGAGTAATACAGAAAATACTTCATTGTTATCAAAACTAGTCGACTTCCATTATGATGATAGATCCAAGTGAATCATAATTTCATGATATTTTAAATATTTTTTCAAACGAACTCAGACATCAATATTGATTGGTATTTTCATAAAAAATGGAACCTTCTAAAATCTGGAGAACCAGCAACGCTACCAGTGGATTCCACGTGTCAAACAACGCCAAAACCCGGAACGGCGGGGTCCAATTAGAAAGAACAGTCCAACCAGGTTCTGCCACGCAATGTGTTGGAGTCAACGATTTGGAAGCGTTCAGCACGCCGACCCGATCGTAACGGCAGTAGGCAATTGGGAAAACGGCGTTTGAAAAAATTGTTGGTTCAAGTTCCGAGATGGGCCCGTAATGGGCCAGTGCTATGGGGAAAAAGCCCATAGGGCTTTATTAGGATTAGATTTGATAGGGCTGATGTGAATGGAAATCTTGTATTTGTTTTGTAAAGAAAAACAAAGTGTGGGGCCCTGGAATTTTAATGATAAGGAAGCTTAAAAAGAATGTAGTGGGAGGATATGTTTGACCTTAGCTGGATCCATAAAATTGAACAGCCCAACAATTATTAATTACTCCTTTTATCTAATGTTAGATTCTCAATTATGTCCACAATAACAACCAAAATTTAGATGTTCATAATTTTGGTAGTTTCTGGAAATATAAGATAGTGAAAAAAAAGGGGAAGAGTTAGAAGCCTTAAAATCTCCAAATTTGGTAAGATGTGATTTTGCAAAAAAAGGTCTTTTGTGCATAATTCCCGTCTGCTGCGTTTGTCTGAGAAGTGTTGCGGCGAATAGGGGATAACCCAACGCCAGAGGAAGGCAGGTAAATAAAGGTTCCGATTGAATGTATTTACGACGGTCAAGTCTCGTTAATATCGAATGAGAGTAGAGTAGAGAAAGAAAGGAATGAAATGTGGGATTGATGTAAAATGTGAAAAGAAAATGGGAAAAAAGAAAATGGGAATGCAAAAGGGGGTTTAGGGATTTGTAGGCTATATAATTAAACGTTTGTCTTCTTCAATCATTCAGTCAAGCACACTCTAAAATCATGCATCAACAGTTCTGTTCTGGTCCTACTTAAGCATGCCAAGGAAAAATTCCAATTATTTATAGCACTTTAGAGTTTTTAATTATTTGCTCAATTTTTTTTTTTTTTAATTTTTGTTAGATGGAGAGATAAAGATGATCGATCATGTCTAATAAAGGTAGATTTTTACTTGACTTTTTTAAAATTAAAGATTTTATAGATTTTTTTTTTTAGTTTTTTAAATAACATTGGAAATGAAGTTGACTCCTTGATTTCTCTACAAATCTTTTGTTTTCAATGATAATAATGCATTTATGTTTTTTTTTTCTTAATTATGTGTCGATTGACTTTTGAGGAAACCTGATCAAATCATCGTAATGTTTCCTCATTTATAATAATCGAATAATTCATTGTTTTTTTTTTTTAACAAATAATTCT